TAGCATTTTAACAATGAACTCGAATTTTAACAATGGACTTGCCTTTTAACAATGGACTCGAATTTTAACAATGGACTAGCATTTTAACAATGGACTAGCATTTTGACAATGGACTAGCATTTTAACAATGGGCTAGCATTTTAACAATGGACTAGCCTTTTAACAACGGACTAGCCTTTTAACAAGGGACTAGCATTTAACAATGGACTAGCAGTTAAATGCACTAGCCTTTAAAAAAAGGACTAGCCTTTTAACAATTGACTCGAATTTTAACAATGGACTAGCCTTTTAAAAATGGACTCGAATTTTATCTATGGGCTAGAATTTTTTCTAGGGTCTAGAATTTTATCTATGGGCTAAACTTTTATCTGGCTAAAATTTTATTCTGGATCGGTTCAATTAAGATTGTGGCTCTTTCGACTCACTTCCGTCAACCTATTGAGATGAAACTTTGCACATAGGCTCGTTGTCGATGTCGACACATTGTAGCACATTTTCAACCCTACCCTCCCAATTGTTTGATATTTTGATTTTTATAAACCTTTGATAGCAAGGGTTGCTTGTATTTGGCATGGGTATGTTAAACAATCTGCTTCTATTTGGCATGGGTATGTTAAACAATCTGCTTCTATTTGGCATGGGTATGTTAAACAATCTGCTTCTATTCGATTTCATCGATGGTTTGGAATATGTCTGTGATTGTATAGTGCGTCACGTTTCTGTACTTTAAGGCCTTCCAAATTTCAAACTCAATAGGCAAAGGAGCTAAGAGTGAATACATTTTTAACAAAAGTAATCCACAGATATCCTGAAACAAAAAAAGATAATGATCTCGCCTAGCTATCAATAAGATGAAATCAACATTAATGTTGATTCCAAATTTATAAAAGGTATTAATAACTAAATTTTCAAGTAATACATTAAAATTTTGCAAGTAAAATCTGGTATTTATCTTGAATTTATAAATACCCCCTCCCCCCCACCCGCCCCAAGCTCTACTACCAGAATTAGAATACCAATCCAATAAATATGATGATGGGAGGTCATACACGCGTATTCAATCTGTTCCCAAGTCACGCACTAAAACACACGGTGCACGATCATTCTCTTTCTGCGCCACAAAACAATGGAATTCTCTCCCATTACACATTCCGCACTATACCGACCCTCCAGGCCGTCAAAACTGAAACAAGGTGCATTTATTTAAATTACACTATCCTGAATGATTCCCACCGCATTCTGACCAATAAACGATGCTGCTGGCCGCCGTCCATGGCTTGACATATAAATAGTTCGCTTGGTGTGTCGGGGTGAATATTTTTTGTATAAAGCTTTTTTTTTTTCTTCAAATATTAAAGATATGTATGAAACTGTTTTAATGTCCTGTTTATTATTGCGCAAATTTTTATGTGAAGTATGGTGAGCCCTAGGCTTCGGTACCGTGCTTTATAAGACCACTGTAATAATAATAATAATAATAATAATAATAATAATAATAATAATAATAATAATAATAATAGTATGGCTCCATTTTTGATTTACTTTTTCAAAATGTTTCTTGGTCTGAAATGTCGACAAAATGACAACACAATAAATTTAATGGCGGACGTCGAATGAGAGCCTGCTGCGAGGATTTATTTTTTTAAAAAGTTGTTTGTTGATGCATCTTTACTTAGTGTGACGCTGTCCAGAAAGTAGAAAATTATTTAAAGTCAGTAAGGATGATTTTAAATTCGCTATTTGTATTAATATGTTTTTAAAAAGGCTGTTAAATACTTTAATTTAGATATTTATATAGGGAGGTATCCTCAAATCAGCTGTAAGTTAAAATAAGCTATTGAAAATTCGAGCATACATCTTTACGTCTAACTTTTCCTCTTGTATCTCTCCACTCCAGGTAATCATGAATCTAATACGCCCACTCGCTAACTTATTCACCGTGTTCATTGTCTGTTTTATCATCGTCCAAGCCAACCCTTCGAACTTGGCACGAAGCGATGCCGGAGATTCGCCCCTGGACGATTCGGGGTTTAAACGAGCCCCGACGTCCGGGCCCTGGCGACCCCCACCATTCGTCAACCATCAAACATTCTGGAAGAGGCGGGTCTGGGACAACGAAACCTGGAACTCATTCAAGTCTGAGGTGAAGGAAACGTTCGACGACATCCATGACATTGTGGACAGCGGCGTTTCCAGAATCAAGCAGGGGTGGGAGAAGTTTAAGGACTTCTACCTGAAGAAACAAGAGAAAAGTGTTGATAATGGACGCCCGCCGACGGACGTAGTGTTCAGGAGGGCAGAAGGGCGCAGGGGCGTTTTCGACGATTCATGGGCGGCGATCAAGACTGGCTTCAAACAAGGGGTGGAAGACGCCGAGGCTTTCGGTAAGGACGCCGCGGAGAGAGCCAAGGATGGCTGGGAAAGATTTAAGTCCATATTTTTTAAAAGAGATCTTGAAAACTTGATATTCTCGCAAAGATTTGCGCAGGATGTTTGAGCCACGTCGTCCTCACAGTGGTAAAGGTCATCCAGAGTTGTTGAGGTAGCGCTTGTATCATGGCCTGACGTGCAATACCCTGCATTTGTGAAGAGATGGGGGTCAAAAAAAAAGAAATAGCGAGTATTAAAATGAATTCCAGAAGCTCCTCATAGCATTATAACAACAAATAGGCATGATATTTTTTTATTTTTTTAAAACAACTCTGAATTGAGGACATTGAGTTTTATATTTAATGAGTTTAAAGTTTGGAATCAGAGAAGAAAATTAAAATAAAAAAGGGGTTTGTTTCGAAAGCTCTAGATAAATCAAGTTTTTAAAAACATTATTCCTATAATGTTTTATAATTTTTAAAAACTTCACATTTTTTAAGAATTGTTAAAAAACAAATACTTGTTAAAGTGGTTTTAACATTTAATTAGGAGCTTTACTTTTCAACAAGATATTTTCTTTCTTTATCGATATTTTGTCTTTTTAAAAAGAAATAACGTATAACTTTTGTTTTTGTGTATTATTAAAACAAAATTCTGTATAAACTTTTTGATTGCATTTAAATAAATCACTTCTCTGAGAATTTTAAGTTCGATCGAACTTTACAAGATGCTATATAAACTGAAAATAAATAATGTTTTGTATTCTTAGTTCATTAAAATTGTAATTAATCTTTTGCAGTGACAGTAAAACAATAAATGGTGCTTAATTAACATATTTGCATTTTGGGCGGGAGGGGGGGATCATTTTAAATGTCAGTATGTATTAGAAACGCTCATAAACAAAACAATGTGTGTTTTTTTCTAATTTTTTTTTTTTTTAAATTTCAGTCTTATGATTATGGAGCAAGATTTTTTTAAATATGTTGTTATGATACTTTGTCTCTAAATAAGATATGTTGAAACACATTTATGTATCAATTGTTATAATGTTATAAAATTGCCAACAACACCACGACAACCACAATATCTAATCAAGTTCCAATGGTATTCATCATCATCATCAGTGGCCCGTACGCGGCTCTGGTCTCATCCAACCCCACTCTTACCATTCAGACTGATCTTTGGCTCTTTCTTTTGGTCTCCATGCGTGGACCCCAGCCTTGGGCGATCCACATCTACATCATAAATTCATCTCAGTCGTGGTCAAATCAATGGGCCCGTAAGCCTCTTGTCTTCATTGTCTGTCAAGCAGTTTTGATCTCCAAATAAGAAGACATTCAACCTTGTTCATTCCGGTGCAGCTTTGATTTTTCAATAGCTGCGATGAGGGATGGCTCTTCATATAATGTATATATTTCTTGATCTGTCCTAATTGTTCTTAAAGATTTTTTTTATAAATATAATTCAGAAAGAAATTTTACGTCAAAAAAATTGGTAATAGGCAATTTTGACAAACACGATGTCAGAATGCTAAAAATCTGAGGAAATATAATTTGTGTTTTGATGAAGTATTTGAAGATATTTAAATAAATAATCTTCCAAACTCCATCTCCTGGCTTCTACATACATTTAATTATTATTCTTATTTTTTTTTTACATTTATGACAGATCAAGATGAAATTTAAAAGTAATCAATTCGATCTCTTATATATATTTTGCTTTTGGTGTGTCCTGCTTCCTTTTCACATCCGGTCGTCGCTCTACTCACAAGATATGTTTAATCAGTAAAAGCACTGATTTTTAAAAAAAAATAGTAAGGGGTTTGGTCACGGAGTGAGCGTCATGCGTGACGGTTGAACTCGGTTAAAAGTTTCTTTTTTTCCTTTAGGGTGAGGAAAGACTGTTATATGAATCAATAAACAGCCACAGATATGTTGTGGACTGTATGTAGGACATTCTGTAGGAATATCGTATAAACGCCGCCAGACAGGGTGTAGGAATGTCTGCATGCCTATTGTTTAAAGGCCGGTAGGTAGGGCATAGGGCTGTTTATAGGCCGATTGTTTAAAGGCCGGCAGGTAGGGCGTAAGACTGTCTGTAGGCCTAGTGTTAAAAGATCGGCCCGTAGGGTGTTGGACTGTCGGTAGGCCTATTGTTTTAAGGTTGACGGGTAGGGTGTAAGAATTTCCGTAAGCCGGCAGAAAGATTTTATAAGATTAGAATTTAACTTTTTTAAAAAGACTTTGACCCATTGGGAAGCTCCTCTAAACATCCGGACCCGGTCTTAAAAAACTGCACCCGGTGTTAAGCCTTAGCTTAATTTATTATATTTCCTTCACCCAACCAGTCTACGTTTGAATACCTTACGTTAAAAAACAAAAACAGAAAATCGTCAAACTAAAATAGCGTTGTTCTGTCGAAAAAAAAAAATGGATCCCAGTCGGAGTGATGACTTTGTTTCTGAAAATTACTGTTTTTTAAAATTCAGCCGTGTTTGATCAGACCTTTGTCTTCTTTATTTGTTTGTGAACAAAGCTGCATACACTATACTCAAATAGATCTTTAATTACTACTTTAAAATTTATATATATAATCAGAAAATAAATGTTGTATGTGTGGTGAAGGTTTTTCTTGACGTAGACAAACTGTTTTTGATATTTCGTCTGGATTGTGTTGATTTAAATCAGATGAAGCGGATTTTTTTGGGGGGTAAAAGTTATACGGAAAGCCAAGATTTTAATTGTTGCCGTTTACGATTGTAAATGGTTGTCGTAGTTTACGCTGTCACTGCTAGGGTGATGCTGGTAGTACTTTCTTTAGTGGAATGTCTCAAATTGTTGTGGACGAGTCCCCGTTTGGAGAGTATGATGTGGCTGTTTGGGCATCTGTTGTGGACGAGTCCCCGTTTGGAGAGTATGATGTGGCTGTTTGGGCATCTGTTGTGGACGAGTCCCCGTTTGGAGAGTATGATGTGGCTGTGTGGGCATCTGTTGTGGACGAGTCCCCGTTTGGAGGGTCCAGTGTTGCTGTTTTGGCATCTTCTGCTAGAACTTTGTATATGGTTGAGGACACTTCCTCATTTGGAGAGTTTGATGTGGCTTCTTCATTGACCTCTGGTGTTAAATTCACGACAACCTCTTTCGTTTTTTCTGCAGTAGTCACTGGTGTTGTCAAGTCGGTTGCCTTTGCCGTCGTTACTAAATGTTCAATGGTATTTGAAACAACGTTGTTTACAGTTGTGCATTTGCCTGGGTTTTCATTATTATTTTCAGTGGTGTTATCTTCTAGTTTCGGTTTCTTACTTTGTTTGGCTTTCGGCCTCTTCCTGGTCTTCGACTTGCTCTTTAAATGTTTGTGAAAGTTAAAGTACTTGTTGTTGAAGAATCGGTGTAAGCTCACTCTTTGTGACTGGGCTATACCTGATAGTGGCCGAAAGCGAAAAACTGGCCGAGATGTACTGAATCGGTTCAAACCTGCTCTATGGACCTGGGCTATACTTGATAGTGGCCAAAAGCGATGAACTGGCCGAGATGTGCTGAAACGGTTCAAGCTCGTGCTATGGACTGGGGATATACCTGATAGTGGCCGAAAGCGATAAACTGGCCGAGATGTGCTGAATCGGTTCAAGCTTGTGCTATGGACTGGGGATATACCTGATTGTGGCCGAAGGCGATGAACTGGCCGAGATGTACGAATTTTATCCCTGGATATCCATCCGCGATTTAAAAACTGGCGTTTGACTTTGTCGGTGATTTGGATCTGGTGGAATTTCGTAATAGAAAATTGATAGTTATGAATGTAGATACTTATATTCTATGAAAAGACATTGTATAAATATGGTCAGCCTACACTAATGGAGAGAAATTTAATTTTTAAGGACTTTTTTTATTTATAATAATATTATGAAACGTAGACAAAATGTGTAATAAATATGTTATATATTAATGTTGAATCTGGGAGCGTACAGAATATTATATTAAAGACTGCAACAATAGAAGACGGATAGACAAAATTATATGTTGAAGGGTCTTTTGAATGGCTTACCACTGTAATGTGTAATGATCACAAACATTAACTGATTATATTATATATATATATATANGAAGGGCTGGGAAAGATTTAAGTCCATATTTCTGAAAAGAGACCTTGAAAACGAGATCTTCTCACAAAGATTTGAGGATAATGTGTTTGATCCACGTCGCCCTCGTAAAGGTCGACCGGTGGTGTCGAGGTAACGGTTGCACCATGGCCTGATGTGCAATCCCCTTCTTCTGTAAAGCGATGGGTGGGGAAAAAAAAAAAAAAAAAAACAGCATGTAGTTAAAGAAATTTCAGAACCACCTCTTAGCATCAAACTTGGAATTGGTGACATTTGCATTTTATAAAGCAGGTTTATATTTCGGAATGAGGGATAACAATTAAAAGAAACTATGTTTTATTATAAAAGCTCTAGATAAATAAATTTTTCAAAAAAATATTTTTTTCTATGTTTTGTAACTAATTAAACCTTGCCATACAGTACATTTTAGAATTGCATTAAAAACACTAGTTGAAGTGGTTTGAATACTTACTTGGCAGCTATACTATTCAACAATAAATGTATTTCTTTATCATTAATTTGACTTTAAAAAAGTAATAATCTATAACATTTGTTTATCTTTATTTTAAAAGTTGTATCTATAAAATTGGATTTTATTTGAACAAATCACTTCTCTGAGATTTAGATTTGATGAAACGTCACAAGACACAACAGAAACTGAAAATAAATTTTGTTTTACATTTTTGATTCCTTTAAATTGTAATTCATCTTTTGCAGTGACCGTAAAACAAGAAATAGTGCTTAACTTATGTACCACAGGAGAGTCATTTTAAATATCAAATAGTATTTGGAGTTCTGCTAAAAAAACAATGTTTTTTTTTTTCGTTTTTTTTTCTTTCAATCTTATGAAATTTAAAAATGTTTAAAATATGTTGAAATAGTGTGATTTTTGTGTGTGTAAATAAAATATATTTAAACACATTCGTCATCAATTGTCATAATTCTATTAAATTTTGATTTTTTAACATGAGCCAGACAAAGATGTGCATTAAAATTTCAACTTTCTCTGATAAGAGCTAGAAAATATTTGAATAGAATTTAAACTGTTATTGGTAGGCATATCACATATTTCGTGTTGCATATGACACCTCCAGGTTGTACATCACATCTCATGGGACTGCCAGGTTTCCAACAAATCAATCTTATAAACAAAGGACGTTATTGGAGATGAAACATTGTCTTCATATGCAATGTTTTAAGTGGTCTTGGTTCCATGTAAGAAGAGTACACAATCAAAACTGACCCACTTATTAGGCCAGTGGTACATGCTGCTAGAAATGTTCCAGCGGCATTGCGAGATGACTTCAAGAAAGAACTTCAGCGCATGGAAAATGAAGGTGTCATTGAGAAAGTGGATCATCTCACAGCATGGGCCAACTCACTGGTGATTGTTGAAAAGAAAAGGTTGTGGTTTAAGGATCTTCCTTGATCCTAGACACCTTAACACTGCCATTCAATGGGATCATTACAAATTACCCACCATTGAAGAAATGGCTAGTAGAATTACTGGCAGCAAGGATTTCACTGTGTTGGGAGCAAACTCAGCTTTTTGGCATGAATATTGGTTGGAAAAGTGGATTAAGTGATCATGAATTTAAGGTATAAAAAGAATGTAAAATGTGGAATAAAGATCAGTTGTTACACAGAGCACAGTCGAGTTGGCATCATTTATTACTATTACACAACCCTCCTAATGCGACGACCCTTCAGTACAGTTCCTCGTGTTTTGTCGACCCCCAAACATAAACATATTTTCTTGGCTACCTCATAAATATGTGTTTTCCGATAGCCTTAAGTGACCCTGGTTAAGGTACGTTCGACCCTCAAAGGGGTCGCGATCCACAGGTTGAGAACAGCTGCTCTAAAAAGATGCCCTAAAAGCAACCAGCCGTAATGTGGGAAAATGTTGCAATATTACTCATGATGATATTTATAATAAAAGTTTTGATTATTTTTGACAATCATGATAACAAGGAGTATAATGTTAAACGACAATAATGATGTTCATGATAATAATTTAACTACACTTTTATCCAATCCACAGACATTTCGCGAGTGCACAACTTGGATTTGTTGAATAACTTTCTCTCTTCGCAGCGGATCACCTGAAATGTGTTTGAAACTAGCGGAGTGTGAGCGGGCCAGAGGGTGGGGGTGCTATGGAACTGATGTGTGAAAGCTTTAAGGCTCCGGTGTAGGCTAATGTCATATCACGTGGGCACTGTCATTGAAACAGTCATAATACATCAGGGTTGATTGTATACGATACATTATGTGAACACAAAACAATTATTAAAACAAAAACGCACTTCCGGTCAGGATAAAGTTTTAAAAAAAAACAACAACAAAAAAAAAACCCAACAAAACAACAACAAATCAACAAACAAAGAAAACTATAACATAAAAATCATACCAAGAAAGTAATAACAACATACTATATTGTGCAAGCACGTTGTAGCTTTAAAAAAAAATGATGTTTGTCTGGCAGCTGTTGCTTGTCACTTTTTGATGAAAGTTAACTTACGGTTGACAACCGCACAGTGCAAATTAGACAATTAATTACGGAGGGGACTTAACCCTGGGTTCTGTCTCGGCGGGCCCTAAGTTTGATACGAGCTTACATTACGTTTTTTTTTTTTAATGAATTAACCAACTTTTCATTTAGCCAATTTAATCGTAATTGTTTTTGTTTTTTTTACGATTCGGTAAGTGACGAGGCCAAAGTCTCACCACGTGTAACATCTAATTACGGATATCAGCAGAATGAGTCCCTTCACCTTAATTACAAACACAAATGATTAAAAATAAAGATAAAACTATCCACGGCGAATCCTCAAATAATGTCAATTTCAGCACAATATTGTATAGCAGGCCTGCACAACTCAAAATGTAAGGCGGGCCGTAATACTTTTGGAAAATCTTGTGCGGGCCAAAAGAAAATAGGACAGGACTTGTGCGGGCCAAAAGAAAATAGGACATGACTTGTGAGGGCCAAACGAAAAAAAGACAGGGGTAAAGCTAATAAGAAAAATAAGAATAATAAAATATTTCGTTACTTTTCGGGCCGCATTTTGAGCAGGCCAATTATATAGGGTTACATGATTAAATTCTTTTTTTTTTTTTGACTTGTTCTATAACACATATGTAGATTTAAGGGAAATACTAGAAGCCAGATGTAGTCAGTTATGTCTCCGCCTCTGATGGCAAACCGTGGGATGATGCATTCTACATTTGTTATAAATACCAATAAAGGGAGCACGAAAGAATACCTTGAAAATATCAATCAGTGAGTTCCAGGCCTGAAGGTAATATAACTTAATTGCTAATGTTACTTTAATGTTCAAAAGCGCAACTATCTTATTGTATTTTACTTATATAAAGGTCTGAAAGTTAAATATATGGCAAAACTTCTCCATGGTTTCTTCAAGGATGGCGGTTGGATGTGATGCTGTTATACTAAACAGGAAACAGGGGCTAGCATTTTATCTATTGGCTAGCATTTTATCTATTGGCTAGCATTTTATCTATTGGCTAGCATTTTATCTATTGGCTAGCATTTTATCTATTGGCTAGCATTTTATCCATTGACTAGCATTTTATCTATTGGCTAGCCTTTTATCTATTTACTAGCATTTTGTCTACTGACTAGCATTTTATCTATAGACCATCAGTTTATCTATTTTACTAACAGTAATCTATTAACTAGCAATCTATATATTGACTAGCAATTTATATATGGGCTAGCATTCTATCTATTGACTACCATTTTGTCTATTGAATAGCATTTTGTCTATGAAAAAGATTTATCTATTGACTTGCATTTAATCTATACACCAGCACTTTATCTATTGACTTGTATTTAATATATTAACTAGCAAATTGGTCTTGCAATTTATATATATGCACTAGAATTTTATCAGTTGACTAGCAATTATCTATGGACTAGCATTTTATTTATTGACAATCATTTTAGGCTATGGAGTTACGTTTTACCTATGGACTAGTATTTTATCTATTGACTAGCATTTTACGTATTAAATAGCACATTTTTCTATGGACAAGCATCGCCGCGTTTTAATTTAAAGTTTCCTTCACTTCAATGATCCATGGTTAGTGGGTCACATCCCCCCGGGGTGCTGTTGATGTTTTTTGCTTGTCTTGGTTTTGTCTCAACCAAAGATTTGCTCAGTTCACTTCACTCGGCCACCCAGCACCACAAAGGCTATAGAATTTAAAAAAACAACAAAAAACGGCTTAAAATTCAAGTATCGCAAAGTGCACCTGTCCTTAGAATGGCACCCTTAAACACTTATCTTGTACACCGGTTCTTTCTCTTTAAGGCAACCAACTGGCGACGTAAGTTAGCGTTAAGGGTACTGGCGCATCAGTTTCAGAAACGCTGTTCTCATGTGATTACGACCATTCGTCGTGTATGATGTATTGTAGTATAGAATAAAGCTCAAAGTCTGTGTTATAGTTCATAAATATTTTACCATTGATAATTTATCGTAAGCACATTTAAAATATTTGATGCTCACTTTTTCTCTTTTTAAATTCTTTTGTAATCTTACCGTTGCTTTTGATCGTGGCTGGTTGGCAACATTTTCGGATGGCTAATTGACACACTTCCCGTCAACCATTCATGCTGAAACTTGGCACACACAAACGCAGGAGCACAACTTATTCTCCCAAAATTTCAGCCCCATCCCCCCCCCCATTGATTGATATTACCTTTTATAAAAGATGTCTACGAAGAACTCTGTTTTCATTGGGTTGTTTAATGTTCAATGATTCGGAACAACAACCCGCTTCCATTTGATTGAATCGATAGTTCGATTTATATCTGGGCTCGTGTGGGTCACGTGATTGTCTTTTAAGGCATTCCAAACATATGTCGAATTCAAAAGGCAAAGGTGCTAAGGAGTGAATACATATTTAACACAAGTAACCCGCGGGTATCCTGAAACAAAAATAATCTCGCCTAGTTATCAAATAATGGGCAAATCCATATTTACACTTATTATAAATGTATTAAAGTTAATAATAATATGATATATAACAATAATTTTTAAAAAAGATTAAGAAAGAACAACACGTTTTTTTTCTTAAATCAAGGGGTAGGCCCCACCCCACCCCCCCCCCCCCCAATATCTACCACCAACCCTTTTTTCCAAACTTCCAACACCAGAATAAGAATACACTTGCGGGTTTTGTCTCTTTTCAGAAACACCTATGAAGCGAGGCGGTCCAACATTGTACCCTTTTTTTTTTGGGAAATATTTCTTAATAAAAACCACTTGGATGATTTTCTGAATTTGAATGTTAATGCATCTTTACTGTTGCTCCGTCCTAAAGAATAAAATTATTTGTTGTCATTTAGGGTGATGATAATAAATTTGATATTTGTTTTAATGTGTTTAAAAATGTATGTTAAATGTTTGAGCTTTAATAAGATTTGTTCCGAAAGATCTCCTCAAATCAGCTGCCAATTGAGAAACGTCATTATGTATTCGAGCATACAGCCTCACGACTAACTTTTCCTCTTGTATCTCTCCACTCCAGGTAATCATGAATCTAATCCACCCACTCGCTAACTTATTCACCGTGTTCATTGTCTGTTTTATCATCGTCCAAGCCAACCCTTCAATTTTGGCACGAAGCGATGCCGGAGATTCGCCCCTGGACGATTCGGGGTTTAAACGAGCCCCGACCTCAGGGCCCCGGCGACCCCCGCCATTCGTCAGCCATCAAACATTCTGGAAGAGACGGGTCTGGGACAACGAAACCTGGAACTCATTCAAGTCTGAGGTGAAGGAAACGTTCGACGACATCCATGACATTGTGGACAGCGGCGTTTCCAGAATCAAGCAGGGGTGGGAGAAGTTTAAGGACTTCTACCTGAAGAAACAAGAGAAAAGTGTTGATAATGGACGCCCGCCGACGGACGTAGTGTTCAGGAGGGCAGAAGGGCGCAGGGGCGTTTTCGACGATTCATGGGCGGCGATCAAGACTGGCTTCAAACAAGGGGTGGAAGACGCCGAGGCTTTCGGTAAGGACGCCGCGGAGAGAGCCAAGGATGGCTGGGAAAGATTTAAGTCCATATTTTTTAAAAGAGATCTTGAAAACTTGATATTCTCGCAAAGATTTGCGCAGGATGTTTGAGCCACGTCGTCCTCACAGTGGTAAAGGTCATCCAGAGTTGTTGAGGTAGCGCTTGTATCATGGCCTGACGTGCAATACCCTGCATTTGTGAAGAGATGGGGGTCAAAAAAAAAGAAATAGCGAGTATTAAAATGAATTCCAGAAGCTCCTCATAGCATTATAACAACAAATAGGCATGATATTTTTTTATTTTTTTAAAACAACTCTGAATTGAGGACATTGAGTTTTATATTTAATGAGTTTAAAGTTTGGAATCAGAGAAGAAAATTAAAATAAAAAAGGGGTTTGTTTCGAAAGCTCTAGATAAATCAAGTTTTTAAAAACATTATTCCTATAATGTTTTATAATTTTTAAAAACTTCACATTTTTTAAGAATTGTTAAAAAACAAATACTTGTTAAAGTGGTTTTAACATTTAATTAGGAGCTTTACTTTTCAACAAGATATTTTCTTTCTTTATCGATATTTTGTCTTTTTAAAAAGAAATAACGTATAACTTTTGTTTTTGTGTATTATTAAAACAAAATTCTGTATAAACTTTTTGATTGCATTTAAATAAATCACTTCTCTGAGAATTTTAAGTTCGATCGAACTTTACAAGATGCTATATAAACTGAAAATAAATAATGTTTTGTATTCTTAGTTCATTAAAATTGTAATTAATCTTTTGCAGTGACAGTAAAACAATAAATGGTGCTTAATTAACATATTTGCATTTTGGGCGGGAGGGGGGGATCATTTTAAATGTCAGTATGTATTAGAAACGCTCATAAACAAAACAATGTGTGTTTTTTTCTAATTTTTTTTTTTTTTAAATTTCAGTCTTATGATTATGGAGCAAGATTTTTTTAAATATGTTGTTATGATACTTTGTCTCTAAATAAGATATGTTGAAACACATTTATGTATCAATTGTTATAATGTTATAAAATTGCCAACAACACCACGACAACCACAATATCTAATCAAGTTCCAATGGTATTCATCATCATCATCAGTGGCCCGTACGCGGCTCTGGTCTCATCCAACCCCACTCTTACCATTCAGACTGATCTTTGGCTCTTTCTTTTGGTCTCCATGCGTGGACCCCAGCCTTGGGCGATCCACATCTACATCATAAATTCATCTCAGTCGTGGTCAAATCAATGGGCCCGTAAGCCTCTTGTCTTCATTGTCTGTCAAGCAGTTTTGATCTCCAAATAAGAAGACATTCAACCTTGTTCATTCCGGTGCAGCTTTGATTTTTCAATAGCTGCGATGAGGGATGGCTCTTCATATAATGTATATATTTCTTGATCTGTCCTAATTGTTCTTAAAGATTTTTTTTATAAATATAATTCAGAAAGAAATTTTACGTCAAAAAAATTGGTAATAGGCAATTTTGACAAACACGATGTCAGAATGCTAAAAATCTGAGGAAATATAATTTGTGTTTTGATGAAGTATTTGAAGATATTTAAATAAATAATCTTCCAAACTCCATCTCCTGGCTTCTACATACATTTAATTATTATTCTTATTTTTTTTTTACATTTATGACAGATCAAGATGAAATTTAAAAGTAATCAATTCGATCTCTTATATATATTTTGCTTTTGGTGTGTCCTGCTTCCTTTTCACATCCGGTCGTCGCTCTACTCACAAGATATGTTTAATCAGTAAAAGCACTGATTTTTAAAAAAAAATAGTAAGGGGTTTGGTCACGGAGTGAGCGTCATGCGTGACGGTTGAACTCGGTTAAAAGTTTCTTTTTTTCCTTTAGGGTGAGGAAAGACTGTTATATGAATCAATAAACAGCCACAGATATGTTGTGGACTGTATGTAGGACATTCTGTAGGAATATCGTATAAACGCCGCCAGACAGGGTGTAGGAATGTCTGCATGCCTATTGTTTAAAGGCCGGTAGGTAGGGCATAGGGCTGTTTATAGGCCGATTGTTTAAAGGCCGGCAGGTAGGGCGTAAGACTGTCTGTAGGCCTAGTGTTAAAAGATCGGCCCGTAGGGTGTTGGACTGTCGGTAGGCCTATTGTTTTAAGGTTGACGGGTAGGGTGTAAGAATTTCCGTAAGCCGGCAGAAAGATTTTATAAGATTAGAATTTAACTTTTTTAAAAAGACTTTGACCCATTGGGAAGCTCCTCTAAACATCCGGACCCGGTCTTAAAAAACTGCACCCGGTGTTAAGCCTTAGCTTAATTTATTATATTTCCTTCACCCAACCAGTCTACGTTTGAATACCTTACGTTAAAAAACAAAAACAGAAAATCGTCAAACTAAAATAGCGTTGTTCTGTCGAAAAAAAAAAATGGATCCCAGTCGGAGTGATGACTTTGTTTCTGAAAATTACTGTTTTTTAAAATTCAGCCGTGTTTGATCAGACCTTTGTCTTCTTTATTTGTTTGTGAACAAAGCTGCATACACTATACTCAAATAGATCTTTAATTACTACTTTAAAATTTATATATATAATCAGAAAATAAATGTTGTATGTGTGGTGAAGGTTTTTCTTGACGTAGACAAACTGTTTTTGATATTTCGTCTGGATTGTGTTGATTTAAATCAGATGAAGCGGATTTTTTTGGGGGGTAAAAGTTATACGGAAAGCCAAGATTTTAATTGTTGCCGTTTACGATTGTAAATGGTTGTCGTAGTTTACGCTGTCACTGCTAGGGTGATGCTGGTAGTACTTTCTTTAGTGGAATGTCTCAAATTGTTGTGGACGAGTCCCCGTTTGGAGAGTATGATGTGGCTGTTTGGGCATCTGTTGTGGACGAGTCCCCGTTTGGAGAGTATGATGTGGCTGTTTGGGCATCTGTTGTGGACGAGTCCCCGTTTGGAGAGTATGATGTGGCTGTGTGGGCATCTGTTGTGGACGAGTCCCCGTTTGGAGGGTCCAGTGTTGCTGTTTTGGCATCTTCTGCTAGAACTTTGTATATGGTTGAGGACACTTCCTCATTTGGAGAGTTTGATGTGGCTTCTTCATTGACCTCTGGTGTTAAATTCACGACAACCTCTTTCGTTTTTTCTGCAGTAGTCACTGGTGTTGTCAAGTCGGTTGCCTTTGCCGTCGTTACTAAATGTTCAATGGTATTTGAAACAACGTTGTTTACAGTTGTGCATTTGCCTGGGTTTTCATTATTATTTTCAGTGGTGTTATCTTCTAGTTTCGGTTTCTTACTTTGTTTGGCTTTCGGCCTCTTCCTGGTCTTCGACTTGCTCTTTAAATGTTTGTGAAAGTTAAAGTACTTGTTGTTGAAGAATCGGTGTAAGCTCACTCTTTGTGACTGGGCTATACCTGATAGTGGCCGAAAGCGAAAAACTGGCCGAGATGTACTGAATCGGTTCAAACCTGCTCTATGGACCTGGGCTATACTTGATAGTGGCCAAAAGCGATGAACTGGCCGAGATGTGCTGAAACGGTTCAAGCTCGTGCTATGGACTGGGGATATACCTGATAGTGGCCGAAAGCGATAAACTGGCCGAGATGTGCTGAATCGGTTCAAGCTTGTGCTATGGACTGGGGATATACCTGATTGTGGCCGAAGGCGATGAACTGGCCGAGATGTACGAATTTTATCCCTGGATATCCATCCGCGATTTAAAAACTGGCGTTTGACTTTGTCGGTGATTTGGATCTGGTGGAATTTCGTAATAGAAAATTGATAGTTATGAATGTAGATACTTATATTCTATGAAAAGACATTGTATAAATATGGTCAGCCTACACTAATGGAGAGAAATTTAATTTTTAAGGACTTTTTTTATTTATAATAATATTATGAAACGTAGACAAAATGTGTAATAAATATGTTATATATTAATGTTGAATCTGGGAGCGTACAGAATATTATATTAAAGACTGCAACAATAGAAGACGGATAGACAAAATTATATGTTGAAGGGTCTTTTGAATGGCTTACCACTGTAATGTGTAATGATCACAAACATTAACTGATTATATTATATATATATATATATTATATATATATAATATCGGCATTACAAATTAATTTCAACATAATTTATTTAGAATTACAGTTTAAAGACCAGGACTCACCGGAAGGGCAGTATTTACGTCGTCAGTGCCATCTAAATTCGGGCCATGAGCAACTGCTTCTGGCTTATGTAAGCCCCCTGCTATCTCTGTGACCTCATTTTTCGGACGCCCTCCGTTGGGGTCGACACTGACCACCGTACCTACCAAAACAACATGGGTCAGGAGAGTCACGGCGCTCACCGTAGGGGCCATCTCACGGTTGTCATCTAATTGAGGGAGAAAAAACAAATAATTACTTTCGGTTGATGAGATTAACTTTCGATTTACATGGAATTTCGGGCTGTTATGAACGCAGCAACGCAAGCAAAGACTTGAATTCACTACAGGGGACGCACAATTTAATCGGTAGTCTAGGATTATCCAGGTCTGTTAGAATTAATTATACGAAAAATATGTATCTTGCAAAAGTTAAATACGTTGTTTTGTTTGTAGAAACGTAATTGATGCTGAAAAAATACATTTATAATTCTATTTAATAACAGAGCGTGGTATAAACACAGATACCATTTACGAGTTACACGTAAATTTCAGGTTGCAAATGATGTCAAAGCTAGTTAATGAACTCTGTTATTGAAATTATATTTTAACAAGCTTTAATTCTTTACTCTACTCTATTACTATGGTCATTTGATTTGGTGTTTCGAATAATAAAAAAAAAATGAGATAGTCGGGACTATTCTGTATCTAAAACAAGAAAGATGTATACTCAGTGGAGTATCTGGGGCTAGTGACACCCGAATGGTCCTATAGTTTCGTCGACCCACTTCCACGAATAAAAAGAGGACAGTTGGCCGAAAAAAAAAAGTCACGCCCGGGGAGGACCGACCCTCATCACCTACCTTTATACGTCACTTCCCATTTATTTTTAAGAACTTTGATTCAAAAACGAAAATAATAAATGACTGTGTTGTTAACACACAAAAAAAATTGTTTTCATAAGTCTTAAAAAAAAACAACAAACATTTAGTGTTGTAGACAACAGCGATAATTTAAAAACAGTCAAGAACCGATTACTGCTTTATAAAGATTTTAAGCCACAGATTTCAAAAGGCGTCCCTTACAACAAACAAACAAAAAACACAACAAAAAAACTGACAGGAAGCAATGAAACAATTGTACACACAAAAATGTCCATTTGATAGAGCCTTCAGTGTGACTATTTATAGAGCGAGCCATGTAAACCATGTCAGTGACGCATATAGTCTCTTAGAGATGGCAAGCACTCGACAGTAATGGAAGTTGTCACTTGGAGTTATAAAACACTTTCAGTTTCGTTAGAGTTGTACGTGGTTTTTTGTTTTTTTTTAAAGTGTTACTATCTTCGGCGATTTTTAAATAAGGTATTGGTGGTGAGAGTAACATACTGGGGGCGGGGAAAGGGGGGGGGTAACCCCTAAGTTTGGTAAAAAAAATAATTATTTCGACTATTTTTTTAAATTGCGCCCTTTTTAAAAAGAGCGCATAAATCGTTCCTGTTTTATATATACCGGAATCATAATTATATAATGCATGATTATGAGTGTCCCCTGCTGAACGGTTTGTGAACCTCCCTTGTTATACTGTTTGTCTCTGCCGCTGCCATCGGTGTTGCCATTGCATTTGCTGTGGTCGGTGCGGTTCCTGCTGTATGATTATCGTTCGTCCTTGGCATGCGGAGATGACCGGCACCGGGGTAAGCATTCCGGCACCGGTCCACAAGATCTAATAGTTCCCGGTCCGGAGACAATAAACAAGTTAATAGATTAAAATAAAAAAAAAATAAAGATAATAAATAATAATAATATGCAAGACATCAATAAAAGAGGGCCGTGTACCTGGTTCGGTGTGGTTCGACCCCCACCACACTGTCGAGTTTGAGAATAGGGTGCTCCCTCCAATCAGGAGTATTGGTCGTCACACGTGGAAAAAGGAAGAAAAAATAAAAGGAGGTTGGGGAGGTGGCATTTTATATCAACACTCAAGCCCCTTGTTTGTTCTGAATGCCATAAAGTAATATGGGCTAACAGAAGGACCTTTTTTGTTAAAAAAGTAAATAGCGTTATTTGAGCTGTGCCCCAGATGTGGTTGTCATAAAACCTCTGTTAGCAGGACTTGATTGATGCGTTCAACTATTACCTTTGTTGGATTGGAGTTCGTTTTGTTTGTTTATTATGAAAAACATTCATTCTTCTATTGCTTCTGTGGGTATCCAGACGCCGACTAAAGTTCACAATGCCTCTAAAATGTTTGTTTAATATTCTACCGTTTCAAACATACTGACGAATGAGTTTAATCTATTTTTTTAATTATTTTTTTTAAATATTTTTTTTGCGAAGACTATTTAAAAAAAGATATATATATATATTTTTGCGTCAGAGCTAAATTTTTATTTTTTTGTTGACTGAAAATTATGTTTTAAATAAATTTTTGTTTTCTTGGAAGGAATTTCCGCTTTTTAAAAAAAAACTCGTCCCTTAACCTCGTTTTTCGTTTTCTTTTTACAAAGGTAAAACATGACTGGTCTGGTCAACTAGGTAGCCAGTCATCGTTTAAACTACAACTCGAAGAACGTACATTACGGAGACAGTTATTTGAAGATGAAAATCACTGGATATTTGACAGCGATCGGCACGGTCTTCAAGATGAAAAAAATTTCTTTTAAAGAAATATAGTTAATTTTTTTTTTTAATGGCAACTTCAGCATAATTCCATCAGTTGGAGTACTTCACGGTTGCTACACATAGTGACCTTCTGATAGAATCTCTTCGGCTCTACGATCTGCTGACTAAACAGTTTCGTAAACAATTTCAGGATAGTACCCAAACGGAACACCGTAAAATTTGAGCACTGTACGCTAAACACTCTGGAGGGTTAATTCTTCTAACCTCCAGCCAGCAGCACACCGTCCCAACTCTGCCACCCCGCTCCCCCCGTCATGTCTACATCTGAGCCCCCCACCCAACAAACCTACCACCGAAATCTACGCCTACAATCAGCGTTCTGAATGTGTCGCTTTGCTCACCGCAAGCATTGATGCGGAGGTCACGTGACTTCGAGAGGCGAGCTATTTATAGACGGAGGCTGCATTTAACAATTTTAAAAAAAAAAAAATCTTTCGACCGAAACTATGGGAGATATTGCAAAATGGGAAGAATTCTGTTTCTTGTTTCTTTTTTAAAAAAAATACTGAAGAGAGAAATGTCTGTTGTTCTTTTAAGACGAGTCGAGTGCTTCAAAAGGTTGTATTTATTTTAAACCCACAACAGAAGTAAGATGGGAGAATGAATGGCCAGACAGGGTTGGGAATAGCCGGGATTGGGGACGCTACAAAAACGATGTTATGCCAGATGAAGGAATTCACGGAGGAAACGGAGTTAGGTCTCTTGGGTGGAAAAACTGCAAAGGAGCTAAAAGAAATAGTTAATGTTTTGTTTTTTTTTCCCTTCTAGTTTGACAGTCAGGATGATCGATGGATGGCTGAAATCATGGATTGATGGATGCAAAATGGATCGGACTGATAAATGGATGATGGCACGCAATGAGTGTACGATGGTTGTGTTGATGAATGTATGGTGTGGCATTTGGTTTGGTATTTGGTTTGATATTTGGTTTGGTATTTGGTTTGGTATTTGGTTTGGTATTTGGTTTGGTATTTGGTTTGGTATTTGGTTTGGGTATTTTCTTTTGGTATTTGGTTTGGGTATTTGGTTTGGGTATTTGGTTTTGGTATTTGGTTTGGGTATTTGGTTTGGGTATTTGGTTTTAGTATTTGTTTTGCGTATTTGGTTTGGTGTTTGGTTTATGTATATATCTATATGATAGAGTTATAGTTATTGGATCTGATCCAAGAAAGAAGATGAACCGCAGTTGCTATCAATTTTAACAAAATTTTAAAAATTTTCTTTAGTAAATAAGTATTCTTTTTATCAGCAACTGTGAATAAATGTTCTTTTCGTAAGTGCATCTTATATGGTGTCCTCTTCATAAGTAACCAAACGCCAAAAACAGTAAAGTCCTTTTTTTCCCTCGTCTTTATTTTACCAAGGGGATGCCGTCTAAGCTCCATGTCACAAGATTAGGAAATGTAATAATAAATTCAGGACGATAACAGTTGTAGACAATTTCCGTGAAATTTAATAATAATTTTAATGTATAAAAACTTAAAATCCTAACTTTTAAAAGTCAAATCACAACCAAAGACAAATGGCTACGACTGTGATTGCTCCCCCTCTGCCGCTTTGCATTTCTTAAGTGAGCCGTTGTTTTTTTTCTTGCTATTATGACTTAAGCACACTTCCGGTTCCCGATAATGGTCGTTGTTTCTGCCACGTCCATCTCTCGTCTGGTTTCTACAGTCCCAGTGTTTGCATTCCACAGTCCTGTTCCATAATCTTGGCGTCTCCCGCCTGGTCATCAAACACGATGTTTGCTTGCATACGACATTTCCAGGCCGGCTCTTTGCCAGCGCTCGTCTGCGGCGAATGTATAAGTCTTCTGGTGATAGCAGAAGAGGGAGATGAGCAGGGAAGCAGTACACAAACCTTAGCATCGGGGAGAGAAAAAAAAAGAGGGGAGAGCGGTGTCAATATATTATTGTTGAGAGGTGTAGATGTAGAGAGAGCCGAGTTTAGAAGTGGGTAACATCGGAAAGGGTGCATTGCAGTGCTTGACGATTTCAAGGCTGGATGGAGGGGGGCGTGTGGGGGGGGGGCTACATTTAAGAGGATATGTTTTTACATTTGGCGATTATGAGTGGAATGGAAAGGGTGCATTGCAGTGCTTGACGATTTCAAGGCTGGATGGAGGGGGGCGTGTGGGGGGGGGGCTACATTTAAGAGGATATGTTTTTACATTTGGCGATTATGAGTGGAAAAGGTAAGGGGGGGGGGGCACTGTTAGTGAGAGAGGTGTTATTCAAGGAGAGCGGTGTTTTTTTTGTTTTTAAGAAGTGGGCGTCCATGGGGCGGGTACAACTCAAGGGAAGACACTAATCCATTGGCATAGAAAGATGGGGCAGAGTGGGTGGTCAACCCCGGGGGTGGGGGGGTGTCAATTTTTAAAAAATATATATAGGGGTGACATTTTCGGCCAACTGCACAGTTTGGTTCACGGGGAGGCGCCCCGTGCGGCACTAGCCCCCGCTAATTATAATGAATACATCCAAAGTTGCTTGTGCCAAAAGATTTTGTATGTCTTTGAAGTCGAAAAGGTGAATCACAGCCAAAAGTGCGCTTTCTCTGTGCATTGTGGAGCTATTACAAGATCCTTGTTTGAAGCAATGATCTACACATTTGATGTTTAATGAAGATAAAGTAATATCTAGTTGTCTGAATGGTCATGATACTTTGGGCAACGGAAGTATTTTGAACTGCCATGTTACCTGAGGCAAGAAACGTATTTTGAACTGTCGTGATACTTGGGGGCAAGGGAAGTATTTTTTAACATTTATTTTAAGTAACATTTTTGCTTGTACTTTTTACTTTTTGTTTTTATATTTTCTTAAATAAAAATAATAAATTTTGAAAATATAAGTAGAAATGTTCCTTAAGAGTTAATTTGTAAAAAAACAATGAATTACTCTCTAAACAGAGTTGCACTGACTTATAAAATGAACTTTTCTTTAACGTGCAAGTTCTAATGCCCGTATTTTTATAGCCATCATCTTTTGCTTTCGATTAGTTATTTCCCTACACAACTGGTAAAGCCCATTTGACAGCGAGTCTCAAGCCATAGATATGAAGGAGTACATTAGACATATCACCTAAATCAGCGTTTCCTAAACTTGTAAGTTTGCTGACCGATGTTTACGTTTGGAAAGCGCAACATGGACCGGTGCGAGATTTATGACTTAATCTTTAATTTTTTTTTTGTTTTGTTTACCATACATATTCATGTTGTGCGTCCCGGAAATGTAAGGCTCGC